AAACAAATTTATCAAAACTAATTGACAAAAAAGATTAAAAAATGTTTTTCATAATTGAAGAATAAAAAAATATATATATAAATTTAACAACAAAAAATTATACAAAATTTTAAAAGTTAAGGGATTAAAATTGACATTTATCTTATCCAAATCGCTACCCAGAGTCTCTGACGGTCTGACCACCATGTTCTCCTCTTTCCATCTGACGCGAAGTTGCCAATGCCAGCTTCTGCTACGCCCAGCCTCTGACCATACCGTCGTCTCTCTCGAGATATTGTGCTCGCGTTATGCGACTGGAAGTTACATGTGCTTTGGGATTGATGTGCTTGGGGGGCTGTGGGTTTGCTAGGTCTGATCGAATTCAATCAAGAGTCCGTGGCTAAAATGGAGCTTTTTTGGATTGGTATATGCTCATATTCGAGTCTACAATCTAAACTGTAAGTCCATTTTGCGGGATTTAGGTTCACGTAGATTTTGGTTTCCTATTTGGGTTTCCACATTATTATAATATTAACATTAACATTTTTATTTTGTTAATATGTTTACATTATAATTGATTACATATATTTAAATTAATTAATTTTGTATCTAAAAATATTTTATTGTTGGATCTATATATATTTTCTGTATATACAATGAAAACACAAAAACGATAAATATTTTTTAAATATTTCTCTCTTTTCTTAGATTTTTAACAAGTTCAATTATTTTCGTGGTGAAATTTCAATTGCAGCTTTGGATCCTCACGTGAGGTTTGCTGGAAGGAATGAAAATATGAGAAACAGAAGTCACAGGCCTAAATTACAAGTCACGGGCTGGCATTAAAAGGGCCAATGTTTTACGAAGCCCAAAGGAGAGGAAAAGAAGGGTTAAAATCAGATTAGGTGGACATAACTTGAAGAGGGTATAAGACCCACTTTTTGCCGACCGGCCTAAGATCTCCCCCTCTTATTTTGCAGCTGTTTTTTCAAAAAACTTAGCACACTCCAAGGGAGATGAACACAGCAGCAACCCAAGGGAAAGCAACTTAGTAAAGGAAGAAATCCAAAACAAAGAAGAATTCAAGGGAACATAGTTTGGCAATTGGATTTACTTATTCGAACTTGCCAATTTTATCATGCCACTTTGTTGAAATTCTTCTTTAATTTTTATGGTTGCTTTGAACTTGATTATGAGTGACTAAATTATTTAAATTGGAGTTAGATGGAGTTTAATTCTTAGATTATGTTATTGATTTTAGTTTAATTTAAGACCCCTTCATAAACCTCTCCTCATATATCTTAAGATTTCAACTTGAGATTTTTAATATAAAAAGGCGAGCTCTTTACCACTAGGAGTCCCCTTGGGGACATTTAAGACTAACTTGTTATTTGTATAATAGTCTATATTGTTGAACTTGATGTTTTGAAAGTTTGGTTATGTTTTAATTGTTCTAGTGATTTATGCATGAATTTGAGAAATAGTTGTATTAATTAGATCGTTAACAATATAAACTATGTTAGACTATGAGACTGGGAGATAATTAGTATTGCATCTAATGGTGGAGGAAGAGAAAGGAGTTAGGATCTCTCCTTTCTTAAGCTAAAGATTTACACATCGTTAGATGCTCACTAATTTATTTTAAATTTTACAAATATATCATTAATTTAACAAGCAGGAGATACATATTAACTTGACTTCTCCTCCCTCCAAAAAAGCCATAGCCTACCTTCCATCTCTTCTCTTGGGCAGCAAGCTTCCGAAGATCTTCTTAGGTATGCTATGTCGCTCTAAAATTTGTGTAACTGTTCTTTCTTTAAGTTTATTTATTTATTTATTCTTTATTTTCTTTAGATTTTTAGTATGTATTTTTATCGTCTTAGGTTTCTAGTCGAGGTTTCACTATGACTGATTGATTTTATGATGTGTGATGTTTATTGAACCTTTATGACACAAATCTAAAGATATTTTTCAAGTAGATTTGAAAAATATGACACAACAAGAAGTCAATCTTCTCAAATGATCTCCGGCTTTATATTTTTATGGATTGCATAAGGGTTGAGGTTGCAATGTTTTTCATTACTTTCTTATATTATGTAAAACTCTCATATTGATGGATTCAAATGGGATTGGATATGGACACTTGCATGATTCTTTTTTCCCTTCTAAAATGTTTTTGCATGAATTGTTCAAGAGATTACATTATGAATGCAATTTGTAGTTACCTATAAAAAAATTTGATTTGAAAAAGTTAATTAATTAATTGAGAGAAATTTGCTATCTCATGTGATGACACATAACAAATCTCAAGGTTTATTTGGTCTCAGATTAGATTAATTAATCACTTGTATGATTTAGATGGAATGAAATTTAAACCCTAATTTATTTTCATTTATAATTTCCTTTTAATTAAAAATTCTTTTAAATTAAATAGTTTAATTTTATTTAATTGATCAATTAATTCAACTTAGACTAAGATAACATCATTTTGGTAGTATAAAATAGTCTTTTAAAAAATAGTATTTTGATCGTTTTATACTACATAATCCATTAAGGTCAGTTAGTTTAAGTTCACTTGGTTTAGGGGAATGAAGATTTTATGCATCATTAAGCCCCACTATACGTTATCTGCATGTGCAGGCGCAGTGGCGAAAAGAGTTCAATCCCTACAAATAACACTTGCACAATTTTATTGATACGAGTTTAGTTGAATTTGTTATTTATTGATTTAAAAATTTTGATTTAAAATTAACAATAGATATTTAAATCTTTATACTACTAAACAATTAATTTATTGAAGTACAAATAAAAAATAAAAAATAAAAAAGATTGCCCAAGTTCCTTATGTTTCAAAAAGAAAAATAAAAGAAAGGCACAGACAATAATAAAGAGCAAATATCAAATTTAGTCCCAACTTTTATCCAAAAAATATTAAATATTGTCCCAGCTTTTGATTTTAACTAAAAATGGTCTAAAACCCTTTTAAAAATCACCAATTTTAATTTTATAATTGGCCACTTCCACTAAATTCCTAATGAAAATCCTACTTAAATTTTTGGGAAGCC